CTAAGTCACAGCCCAGCATGTGATCTCGACAGCTCAGCATGCGCTTGTTCTTCGACTCACAAAGTGATCAAATCATGCGCCATGCGCACGAACGCTGCGAAATGAACCGGTCAAAAGCCCCTTTTTCTCAAAAGTCTCCTAGCAACGAAGACGGAATCAGACGGTACGCTGGTTGCGTGCCCCCACGACGAGAACTGCTGGCTCGGTGCACGAACAGCAGAACGACTACCACTTCCTGATGGTGAGAGCGTAATTCGCCCGTCACAATGACTGAGTTATATTACAGTCTATGACGTAATGAATTGAGACAAAGGAGTAGACAAGAGCGGAAGTCAGTGCCCCAAGCCTCGGTTGGAACGGGTAGAGGGTAGACTGAAAGGTCTACCCTCTACCCGTCTCTGGTCACCGTTCGAACGCCTCCAAAATCCGAAAGCGTCTCGCGTTGGACTTTCCCTTCCCGCTTTAAAATTTCAGGCATAGAAACAAATAATTTATGCGATACGTTTCTAACAATTTCAAAGAGTAACTACCATATTCGCACGTTATAAAAGCAAATGAAAACTTTTAATAATTTAGCTAGTTTCCATAAACGTCGCATTCCTTTTCCAACAGACTATGTCCGTCATCTATGAATTTCTGAGCACGCGCATATTAGCCTAACTTCATCGAAACGCTGTTCAAACTTTGCGCGCAAAGTTCGAGGAAGTCGAACTCAGTCCAAGTTGAAGCTCAGCAGATTCTGACCCACCCCAAGCGGCATACACGTGAAGCTCGACGAAAGTGACTTTCAAAGCGGCAACGAGCCTCTCGCTTGTTGCAAGACTCCGCGAGACGCGGTGTCGGCGACGCTAACGCCATCTAGGCGGCGCTGCGTGGATCCTCTAGTGACGACGCTTGTGGAGGGGAAAGAAGCGGGCCTTGTCGTCTAGTTTGTCCACCTGCCGGAGTGGAACCACCAGAAATAGGGCGACTTCTATTCTCAAGCCTAGTGTGCCTCGATTTTATAGTGCTTCCAACTGTTCGATCATGGTCACGTGGTTTTGGGCCACGTTTGAATTGCGAGCTGCGAGGAGGAGACCAAGGCGTCGCTGAGGCGTCTGTCGTCTGCTAGCGTGTCCATTTCTCCGCCCGGTTTCTTCCTTGAATCACGACAACGCGACACGTGCGGACCAATCTGCCCCGGAGGCGCCCGCAATTAAATAGCAAACGCTCTCCATTGTTTGATTTGCTCCTTCTCTTAAATCTAGGCTCACTACTGAGCTTCAACGGAGGCCCCGCCACCCAGCGGAGAGGAGCGGGAAGCTACCGTCAGTTTAAGTGAGCGCCGAAAACTGGCGCGACCTGGCGGCCAAATTGTGAAACGCGGCCAAGGGGATTAATTTGACGCCGTTCGAGGTTCGAACTGGAGGCGCTACCGTGAGTCATCTCCCGATGGCTCGATTACGGTGTAGATGATTCGTTCTCAACTACGGACGGGACAGTTGGCTCAATACATATAGACCGCCGTACATTACGAGCTGAAACACTCAGTCTGGACTCTTGCTACGCCTCCAGTTCTCACAAGCTCTATTATATATCTTTCAATTTCTGAAAGGGATAGAAAATTTAAATATAAGCTTTGCGTTCCATAACATGTTGGCAACAAAGATTCTCAAAAACACTGACAGGTAAGCCGAAGAAGTGTGGATGGCTGTTCCAGCCTATATTGTCCGCGGGAGTACGTAGTGACTTGTAGAAATTGGTCACTATTTTGTTGCTTTATTGCACGAACGAACAGAAAATACGTGATTTTTATTCGATCATGCGAAAATAATCACTCACAGCTGTCGTACTACATACGCCTATATTCTTAGCTGCAAACACGCGTGCACACGAAAGCGGAGTCAGCAAAATCAACTCGGCGGTACCTCAAGCATGCCCGAGTTGGAATCGCACGCGACTCCCATGCAAAACTCGGGGTCGGAACCCAGCAACCTAATTATGAATTTTACATTTCGCGGCTACTCTAAAACGTTTTAGTAGCATCTTTTAACTTATCGCTTGTTCCTGTCCATAATTTTCTGGACTACGCTGTCTGTATAAAGAAGTTGGGGATGACAAAATCTAATCAGTCGCTGTTTTGTCGCCGTCGTACAACGTACAGTTTTTTATGCGTTTGTGGGCACGAGCTTGCCTCATTTAACGTTTATTTTAGTTCCACATTCTCTTCCATTTTTCATCCGATGATGAAAGTATTTATTTCTAAAACTGCCAAACTCCTACAGTCCCTACATTTATTCGGCACGTGTCGCCTTCAGGGTATTAACTAATAAGTTAGACTTCTGAGATCTCCACACAACTCGGTTCTTTTAAAACCGCTGATGTTCCTGACCTGCAACTATCTCGCGAACCGGTTGAGGTTCGAGTTCGACCAGGTTTTTAATAGAAGTGTTCCAACTTCTATTAAAAAGTCGATAAAGTTCAATAAGGGTTAGACTGTCATGCGCATACACGACGGGCTGGCATAGCTGGCTTTGTATTGGATGGTGATGGCCAAATAATGAAATCAAACATTATACTTTTAGTAAAGGGAGCACTGTTTCGTAGTTTTGACAAGATTGTCAACAAATCACATTTGATGAGGCGACGAAAACTGAAGCAAACTAAGCGTTTATTGGGGCGAACTTGTGCTCCCCAAAATAGATAAAACTAGCGTTGCAGGCGTCGATGGCGGCGAAACAGTAGGATCGAGTTCTAGGGCGAGACTGAGTACGGCTCGCCATGCGAAGTCCCTTATGTATGTACTTACACGCGTGGGCTCCTGGAACAATGGGCGTAGAAGGTTCGGCGCGTAGAACCATTCCGACCTCGAACAAGCAACAAAACTCTCGAAATTATCAGAACGGGACAATCAGAAAATAACAAAAAGGAGGCGCCGCTACTAGGCATCGAACCTCGGCTCTTAGTGAGGGAGGCAAGCCTTTGCCAAGCAGGATAAACGTTCGGCCACAAACACGCTCCCAACTTGACCAGACACGCGCACGGCAATATAGCAAGAATAAATATGTTATTAACTTCTAAGTTATTAGACTTATGTTTCGTTGAATTTAACTATTTATAAAATAAATCAATGTATCCCGTAAATAGTTTTCTCCAAACTTAGGTACGCTCGTATCAATGTCTCACCGCACGGTCCACAAGGTCAAACCTTGAAGGCCCTGGTTTAAAGTTCGAAGGTTCGTCGATCCTGACGAACCTTGACGTTCGACGTAAAAATGTGGCTTCACGAATTCGTGACAGCTCTAATTACAACGTGTATGTAGGAGAAGCTCCGCCTCCAAACGCCGGAGAAAAATGGCGCTACTATATAAATGCACAATTTTTCTATAGAGTCACAGGATCGGACAGCGAGAAACGTGCGCTTCTATAACCAGGTGCATTTGCTTGAAAATAGCAAACATGACGTAGGTGTAACGGCCCACAACAACAGAGACTAGGGAAAGGAACGAAGAACAGAGGGCATGATTTTACAGCTTTCTGTGTTGTTCGTTTCCGCCTTACTATTCCTTGTTTAGCGCAATTGCATTTACATTATGCTTGACATTCACCAACTAGCACAGCTCTTAATTTTATAACTTTATACCATTTAGCAGTATTTTCCTAGATGAGGGCTATGGTTCTGTTCCTTCCTTCAGTGTTGGCGAAGCCTCTTCTGCATATCTTAGGTTGCAACAAACTACAGCGTCGAGAAGGTGCAAATGGCTCTTCCAGCGCCCAGTGGGAACTTTCTTCAGGTTATTTACTAACGCCGCCGAACAAAGTAGCGATCTTAATTCTTATTTTTATTATATATAATGCGATCATCCCCGAGTAGCGGGGGTGGGGGGGGGGGGGGGGGTATTGCCACGACCGTCGCCGAGAAATCGAGTGCTTGGCAGATTGGTCACCGTGCATGGCAATCGCGCGGAGGCTCCAGGTTCGATTCCATGGATGGATCGGACTCCTCTTGTATTTATTCTTTCAACTTGACGTTCTGGTTGGTTCGAGAACCTTGTCACCTGATCGAGTTAAGAATGTTCTACACGCCGAACGTTCTACGCCGGATGTTCCGGAAACCCACGCTGGTACACAAGATGCTCCGCATAGCGGAGTCGGTCTCGTTCTTGCACTCGATCGTGCTACTCCCGCGACCTTCAACGCCTTCGACGCTACCTCTTTGTAGTTTTGTTTTCGGAAAAATTTCGTCAAGTTAAACGTTTATTTTTTGTTCATTCGTCGCCTCATCATCAGGCATTCGTGACAATATGTATGCTTGGGCACCAAACTACATGATGCAAAAAGATATAGTGAACAAATGTTGGAGCTAGAAACCTGTGAAACTTTTTACAAATTAGAAGCACTAAGACGTTTTGACTTGTTGTCGTGAATATCCCGTGGTTGGACATTTGGAAATACATTAAAACGTTTAATATAAAACGACTGTCTAGCATTTCAATAAATCAAACGATTGGATCAACGGAAACAAACCGGTTTTTAGGAACGTGTAACCGGTAACCGAAACCGTAAAAATGAAAACAGTAAAAAACAGAAACGAAACTGATATTAACAGGAAACGGTAACCGTAACCGTAACCGTAACCGAAACGATATATTTTTTTGGTTTGAGTCCGTCAACGTGACATTGGTTTTTGGTGGCAGGATTGTTAAAAGTAGCGTGTTGTAAAAGTGTATGGCGTATGGGATGAGCTCTTAATGCGCACGTGTCGACCATGAGTCACGGTACGCAGCCTGTTGTTTTTCTCTTTTTCAGGAACATGATACAGAAAAAGTAACCTATGGTTTCATTTTTTTTTTTTTAACTTTCGGCAGCCGTTGATTCTATTTGAAGCGTGACAACCGTTTGCAGTTCCAGAACTCCCCCGTTTTCTGCACGCGTACATCTGCGCTGCTTTATTCTACTTCGGAAGCGAACTTTCCTGACATCGCATTTATTCAGGCAGTCTCCATTGGAACCCTTAAACCATGTTCTGGCAGTATATACTTTTGGTTGAGGCGTTTATTGCGACGGACACCCTCCTTGCAGTGGCCCGCAAGGACAGTGAGAAACGCCCCGAGTACAATGCCTGGAAGGTAAATACACATTTTCATTATCTTGTGCGCAAGTTACGAAATGTTTCAAAAGAACCTTTTTTCTAATTTTCAGTTTTTGAAAAGCTTCAAAAGTGGCTACATCAAGTACCAGACTTACGTGGATTCAGTTGGATGTACAGAGTTTTTGCGAAAAGCACTGAATGCAACCGATAAATCTGCATTATATCAAGTGTCGTTCAAAGTTCTAGCTGACAATACCAAGTAAGTTGTTTTATTATTCCCTAACAGCGTCCCCAGTCAGTAGTGTTACATTGTAAAACTTTATTTGGTGAGCTTTGCTTTTTATTTTTATTATTTTCGTGTTTTCTAAAACAAAAACCGTAAAAGCTACATCAATGTGTTTTATGCACGTGGATTACATGGCCAGGAGGATATTATATATATTCGTATTCGGTAGGATCAGTTGAGCAATTAACTCAAGCATATTTATTAACTTTTTTAATCCTTCCTTAAATAGGACACTCTGCAGTAACGGTATTGACGGAGAGGACTATTAAGGGTGGAATCAAATCAATGGAGTTTGAAGAAAGGCAACAGGCTTCGAGATAGTCATTGATCAATTTTCACGTTGTTTTCTTAATCCGAACGCAATTCAGAAAAATCACCGCAAAAAATGTGCACAATCGTGCGTAGGAGAGTGTTGACGTTTTCGTATTCGGTACGTCGTCACAACCTCGGCAGCTTGCCGCCGGCACATTTACCAAGGGCACACTACCGATATAGTGACGACATGACTAAAATGTCTACAAACATTTATGAGCCTCACTCTGGGCGGGAATTCGGTGCTCTTTCTGCGTCCAGATTCGGAATCGGGCCAGATCCCCCCTAAAAGTTATCGTTGATCATCTCAGAACATCTCGCCTATTTTCAAACTTTTTATTTTGGTTCAACATGGGATGGTAAGTTGGTACTGCGATCGTAACATGACCCATCTAACCATGAATTAAAAGGTAATTACCTAAAATCAGCTAATTTTCACATACTTTGTTCATGATTGTCCCTTTATCTAGTAACTCAGCCGCACAGACTGCATTGACTAGAAATTAGTCTATTGTTCTTGCAATCGACTAATTTTTGACATGTTAAGTTTGAATTTCTGAGTGGTAATAATGCTTAATTTAAAAAAAAAAATGATACCCTATAAAATTTATGCACACAAAAAGCCAAATCAAGTACTATAAACAGAGTCGTTTTTGTATATATCATCGTTTTTTGCTGAATAAAAACCTTATTGAAATTCCCCTTTCAAGAACACGAAACGAATACAGGTTTTTCGTTATATATTGACAGTAAAGACCACTTGATATTAAACATTTTCTAATATCGGCTGTTTTGTCGCTAAAAGGTTCTTCGAGAATTAAATTACTTTTTTTTAAACTTTTGTTGGTTGGCCAAAATATAAGAAAAATGTATGCTTAATGTTAGGTTAGGTTCGCGGAGAAGGAACAGACACTACCGTGGGCCAGAGTGCCGCGTAGAAGAACTCTATATCGCCGTTTTATACCCGCTGGCCGCTAAGTCAAGCCGGTAGGTGGCGGGATGGTCCATACCACAATTGCCCCTTTTATGGAGAGTATCACTGAGGCGGTTGTAAGCATCGGCCATTCCTACTGTGGGCATGAGAGGTCACTTCGCCATTGCAAAATAAATTACTTTTTATTAAAAGCTCTCGTTGTGGAAGATATAACAAAAATGTATGCTTAACGTAGGTAGCGTGAGTTTTTGCGGCTATACATTTTCATTAAAAACTGGGTTAATACTTTCTGAACTCATAATTCAATTGTTAAATGTAAACGTAATTGCTAAAGCAAAAAAAAAAAAAAGAGTGCCAGTTTACTCTGAAATGTGAAGTCCCAGACGAACCAAGCGCTTTGGTGAGCTCTTATTGTTTATATTAAATATTCATTACCTATTTTTTTAATAATATGTTACAGAACCGGAAAATTTAACTGATTTTGTCACCAACAAAGTTCAAGTGCAATAATCAGAAACATGCAGTGATATTTCTCTGTGTGGGACCAACGAAATCAATCACAGATAGCTATCTAAAATCCCCCTTTTCGCGCGTTTTGCTTTAAGCATGTACAAAAGAAAAACCGAGTTAAAGAATTAAATTAATTTGCAAGTATCAATACAATATGAATACGTATTTAAAAGAAAGTTAATTCAACATCTGTTGGCTCGCGCAATCCTCAACACTTTATATTGAAAAGCTATTCAACATGTTGCGTTATCGTGCTTCACAAGTGTACACAAATTACTTTACGTAATTTATATAAACTTTCTTTCAGGGAAACAATTACATTGCGTTTTCACGAGCAAATCACACCAAACGAATACGCTGTCTACAATGAAGGCAAGTTGAAATTGTTCTTTCCTAAAACATTGAACAAAACAACGGTTATACGTCAGCTGAACTACATTTAGTTATTCTAAATTGCACCCACATTGCCAAAAAGACATCACTGTAAGGGGTTGGTTATTCAATGCATTCAGACAAGCGGGAGCAGAAAACGTTGACGAGTTGAAGCGTGCTGGTAAGTTACCGTTTACCGGATAAGGTCATTGTCATCAATGCAGACATTCTGTTCAGGAAGATTGTTTCACTCTCTGGACGTCATAACAAAAATGAATATACAAAGCAATCTTTGCTCTATTACTACAAATATCAGCCCTTTTAAAATTATCACAACGGGATGAGGCGTTCGGTGGCTCTAAAAGATATGCTATTTTATCAATTCCTCTATTGTTGATAAAAACACCCAAGTCTTCGTTTTTATCTCCTTCCGATTCCAACTATTTCCCATCTCAGCACGACCTTTAACTATGACATGCTAGCGTAAGGCGCACAGGTTTCGAAAACCAAGCGTGCTGCTTGATTTTGAAGCTTTTATATTTTATTCTTAACATAGCCATGATAGCGATTCCATATCACACAAGCTTAATTTAAAATAGACCTCAAAAAACGGAAACTTTGTTTTACTTTTCGTGGAACGCTCCTTAAACTTCGGCTTATGAAATATTACATTTTATTTGCTTTCATTCCTGAGCACTCAATACGACTATTCCAATTTAGGTAATGTGAACGAGACATGTAAGTATATATATTCAGAGACGCCACTGAATGTTGTACCGTATATTACGCAACCTTGAGATACTGGCGGAAAATCTTTCTTGAAAACCACATAAAATTACGCACACACACACACACACACACACACATATATATATATATATTCGGCACACCATCCCACCCTAAAAAAAAAAAGCGGTCTCCGCTTGAAACGTTGGTAAATTAAAGGCCTTTCCTGGAACTCCTCAACTTTTGTTTCACGTCCCACCGGCCCGTTGAACCTTCTCACCGTGTATGTATACATATTTGAGGAAACTTTTCATTGATTACACCAATTGAATGAAACGCTTAGATCCCTTTGCAAGATGGCGAGGTTGTCTGACGAGTTAACCCATGTATGAAACGCAGCCTGCGAGTAGCTGGTATGCAACAGTATATTTTCGGTAATATCAATAATCCAAAGAGGGAATAACGAAGGCCCTAACACACTACCTTCAGACACTAGCCAAGGGACACTGGTTACCGACAGTGGAGTATACTGTTTAAAACGACGCACTGCTCTTGAGCTTAGAATTTTTGTGTTCAGTTCAATATGTTGAGAAACGAGCAGATAAGTCAATGAGTACAACAGTAAGTGAAGCGTACCGTGCCAAATGCTTTACAAAAATCTGACAGTGAAGTGTCGACATATTTTTTGTTATCAAACGACCTCGATATATGATGATAAAATTATACTAATTACGCATTGAAAGATCAGCCTTCCGAAAAACGTGCTACAATGGGAAAAGAAGCGACTTGAATTCATTAACAGGAAGGGATCACGGTAACTAGTGTCTTGAAACAATTTGCAACAACTCTACGTTAATCAAATAGGACAGCGATTTTCAACTTTAAACTTTGCCAGTCAGGCCGGCTACCTTTCATTTGCAGATGAATGAACCGTACTTAATCCAATGAATCAAAGAATCAAAGTTTCTACGAAACCGCCGAAGGCGAAAATAACGGCGGAGCAAGGATTTGAATTCTGGGCCTACCAATGTCCGGTCGGGTGTGCTAACCTCTACACCCCTCCATCTTGGCTTTCTGGCGTTTCCTACCTGTCTTATTAATGCACAAGAAATGTGCATTAATAGGACATACATATATCATATACAAGCTACAGATTTTGCAGTGCTCATAATTACATATATATATATATATATATATATATATATATATATATATATATATATATATATATATATATATATATATATATATATATATATATATATATAATTAATACATAATTAAGTGCTGCAAAATCTGTAGCTTGTATATGAAACATCTGCCAGATGCATTTAGAGTAAAATGTTTTATTGTACTCAATTCGGTTCCTACAGATGAAGAAGAACTTTACAATTCGACGGTGGCGTACAGCGACGACAGTAAATGCAGCATAATTCAGGACAGTGAGACGCCCACAAGTAAGTTCTATTTCATTATTATAATTGCAGGCGTGTTATCAATCATCTAGGCCAGTGCTTCTCAAATAGGGGTCCGCGGACTCCCCGGGACTCTTTGGGAGTCGCGGACCCTTTGCGGTCCGCGAAGGCATTCTAGGGGTCCGCGAAGTCCTGCCTCACCGGTCAAGTCCCGCAATAAAAGTTGCATTGTTTTTAGATCCAGAAGAACTTTTTCAATTTTCGGGTGTGTTTTCTCGTGCATATATTAATAAGAAAAGTCTACTTCATACCAGTTCATTTATTATATCAATATTATAGTTACCCTATACCTTCTCCCTCCCTTCACAAGGAACGGGGTCCTCCATCATCTCCGCCGATCCACAAGGGGTCCGCGAAACATCGATGGTTGAGAACCACTGATCTAGGCTATGAATTACTTTAAGGAGATAAATGAAGCCTAGTTAAATAAAACAAAAAATATAGTTGCCTTCACAAAAGTAGCTAAAATAAAACCTGAAATATCAATTAGTGCTATATTTTACCGCGACGTAATATTTATCTTAAGCCCTTGCACGTTTAGCAACTCAAACTTAAAAAAAAAGAAAAAAAATCTGAGGAGGCTATGTACGACAAGGGCTATTTGTCGATCATACATAAAATTTGAATAGTTGGTATTTTAACCTGCGGCTATAATAGTCTATATGTTTACGTTTTATTTAAAGATTTTCAATATAAATATACAAAATATGTTCAAACCTTTTTTTTTTACATATGTACACGCATTATTCCTGCTAAAAACAGGGTAAGCTTGTCAGTAAAACCACTCGAGGCATTTTATTTGATTATTCATTTTATTTAACAATAGTGCAAGTACTGCAGGTGCCCAAGCAGGAGAGTTTTTACAGTGTTTTACGAACTACAGTCCGCACTGGTGCATAATCAGAAACAACTCATGGCTGAAAATATATTTTTTTAGTACGCACTTAGTTTAAAGTATACATTTGTTGCTCATTTCGCACCATATGCCTAGTCCTCACATTACACTTCTCATGCACAAAACACCTTGACAAATGCCTACTGCACGAGCTCACAAATAAATTTGTATCATACATAGGTCGTCATTAATATACTCTATCATTTACAAATCCGCCCTGTCTCGTCATAGCAAATATATAGAACTTTAAAACAGCGCAAAAACAATTACAACACAAGAACAAGTAGAAGAAGGGGCACAGACAACGCTGTCCCTTCTTCTACTTGTCCTTTCGTTTTTTGCGCTGTTTAATTATATGCTTACTGTGCCCCACCAACTAGCCCACCTCTAAACATTACTGCTAAGTCTCGTCACAATGAACAATCTAAAAAAAATCCATATATAGTTTTTATCTCTACAGCGTCCAAAAATTCCAACTTTTAAACATGTACCGTCCGCGGACACCTGTCCGGAATATACTGCACATGCACAATACCGCGATAACAGTAAAACATGGCACTTTATTAATAAAAATTGCAGTATAAAACACAACGCACACAATCTGTCTATCGAAGAGCGTGGCAAGTCAACCTTCACTTTCAACAGTTTCACAGAGTGTATGTACAGAGCGCGACACTGTTAGCGCGAACAAGCGATCGTCGGTTTTTTCAGTTTTTCTCTTTGAAACCAAGGGATGTCATCCAAGTTATTATTGCTACGGAAAGAGCTCATTTAGTTCTATAATGTAAGCAATAAAATTTCATGTTCGCTCATACTATATAGAAGTAGAATGCGAAAATCCGCCGACGCCGTGTTCGCGCTAACAGTGTCGCGATGTGTACACAGTGTACACTAGAAAAAAAAAACTATATGTAGCATAAAACGAATTAACGAGACACTTAAATAGCTCAACAAAACCCTCGAATGCTGCAGAAGCAGAAAGAAAACTATTATAATAATGTGATCTTGAAGCGCGTTTGAAAGTTTTATATGATTGGGGGCTAGGTAGTTTGTTCCAGTCGCCGGTAGTTCTTGGGAATTAATAATTATTGCTTAGATTGGTTTGTGCGGAGATGGACATTAAGCTTAGTGACCGAATTTCATTCAAAAATAGAATGTCGAATGCATTTACTTTAGTGCAGTTATTTGTGGAGGATATTTCTCGGAACGCGGGCGAAATCGTTTCTGCGAAAACGTACGCGTCGCACAAAAAGCAGAAATCCCGCATTTATTTCTTCAAAATGGCTTATTTGGGAAAATTAGTAACGTCAAGTGCAATTAGTTTCATAACGATTACTTTCGAGTAATTAACTTTTTAAAGGGGAAATCTAGAGTTATGGGTTGAACCATACACATGGTGAGCATCATCGAAAAACATTAAATAAAATCACATTTCAAATATATAAGGAACGTATATCATTTTATGTCGCCCCGAAGAAACCCTCGATTTCGATGGCTTTCAGGTTAGTTTCCTATCGGAGAAAATTTTCGCGACAGCGCTCCTGCCATCCCTCGGCCAAGGCGTGAGTAACGTGTTCATTCTACGCATTCTGCGCATTCTTAGCATGATGGAAGTGAACCCACATATCCAAGCTAAAACCTTGCAATGTTATTCGAACAGCCCATCGTTCCTATTCGCCGAGAGGCGAGGCGATAGCTGAGCGCCTTGGCCATGGGGGCAGGACCACTGTCATCAGAGATGCGCTTCAATACCTTTGCATGGCTTATCACCTGGGGGACGAAAAACGCTGAGTCACTGAGCTGTGGACGCTTGCGCAGTGTATGATACGCCTCACAGCCAGGGTGTCGAACCGGAACCGAACCGAACCGAAAACCGGAACAGAACCGTTATTTTTAGCCGAACTGGAGCTGAACCGAACCGAAATCTTCGCCGCCATCTTGGAACTGAACCGGAACTGAACCGGAAAAAAATATAACGGTAACCGGTTCAAAACGGTTCACGGTATTTTTTTTTGTTAGTATTACAAATTTATTATTTGTGAATAAAAAATTGGCACGTGTATTCCTCTACGTATTGATCAAATCGTCATGTACAGAATTGCAATGTATGATAAATCCTGGTTTTTTGCGGCGCTTTCTTATTGGCACTATGATTAGCCATGTGTCACATCGTCACGTGACGTCATGATGTCAAGACATGCTGTCAAGTAATGTTACATCACGTGACCCCGTGACGTCACGTGACTCACCGCGTTAAGTCGATTCGAATTGAGGACGTCGCTAGATCTATTAACGTTGTTGATACCGTGACGTCACATGACATCACAACTTCGCACTGAGAGTCACGTGACACCATGATGTACCCGATTGTCATGATCCCGAGTCAAATGCTCTGGTTCATGACAACCAGTATCGCCAAACGTTCAGGTAACGGCTCGTGTTCAACTCAAAGATTATGATGGGCCCGAGTTCCACTAGAGCTAGAAACAGAAACAAACGAAAGCGACAAGCCTCAGACACATGCAGCATGTTCGCGATGGTACCTTTATACGGCTTTGAGTTGTTCGGTGCTCGCGAAGTTAGCACGAGTGTTTGCAAGCCTGCAAATGGTACCATCGTGTGCATGATACTCGTGTTTGAGCATAGCCTTCTTTATTCTACAAAGCCTGTCAAATCGCGAAATACTCTGGTTTAAGGCTAGCCGCTGTCGTTTGTTTCTGTTTGTCGCTTTAGTGAGGCTCGGGCATTATAGCCCAACTAAAATTATATCTGAAGATCAGCCCATGCTCTCTGCTTTGCCAACCCTGCGCATGACTATGATAAACACTGACGGTGTATATATTAGGATCAGATCCCGTGGCTGATAGTTCTAATTGTGAGTTGAGGAGGGGAAAGCTGTTTCATTTCTTTCTTTTGACTGTCTGCCATTTCGCGGAGGGGCAAACTAATGGATGCTTTTGCAAGTTATCAAGGTCAGGGATTACAACTTAGCGGTATTTATTGAACTTAAGGTAAAAAAAAAATGCTGCACGACCTATTTTACATATATGCACACCATTGAGGCTCCCAAACATGTTTTCGTTAGTGCTGAACTGCCTCAGAAAGTTGTCCCGAGAATAGAAGTGTTAAAGGGTCTAAATGTGACGTATTAGTCCGACGTTACATGGAACTATTAGTGTGCACGGGAGGGATACCTGAAAAGAAAGATCCTAGTGGCCTCACGGGGATAGCCGAACGTTCACTCTAAAAAAAAAGGGGTATCACCTTACACCCTTTTGTCCCATATAATACACCCCAAAACTTCATTTCGGCGTACAGCGCCCTAGAGTCAAACAGACGGCATGAAATTTTTCCAGGGGCTTGATAACGGTGCAATAAAACTTATTAAATTGCTAAAGCACGTATCAAAGACCAAAGAAAGAAAACATGAAGCTTTTGCAGTGCGGCCAAGAAAACTCCGATAATATTTTTTGTAGTCAATAATACGTACGTCAGCTATCTTAATAGGTTGTACCACACGGCTATCAAGCCCCTCGTAAACTTTGGGGCCGCCTGTTCGATTATGGGGCGCTGTACGTCGAATTGAAGTTTTGGGGTGTATTATATGGGACAAGGGGTGTAATAATACACCTTTTTTTCTGAGAGTGTTGGCAGCCGCTCTAAGTCTCACAGGAGTGTCGTTCTCAAGTTCTCCAAGTTTCGACCGCCCTGTATTTTGCTTAACCTTCACAGTTTGGCGCAAAGTTAAAGCAAGGAAGAATTACTGTTAACAAGTGACACAAATATAATTGTCGAGTGAACACCACTCAATACGGAGCAGGCAATCCCTGAGGAATAAAAAGTATCTTGAGGAGCAACTAAAAAAAAAAAGGGAGTGGGGAGGGGGGTAGTTTTAAAGCCTACTGTGTCGAAAAGATTCCTCTGCCCCACATTTTCGGCGCAGACTAGAAAGCGTGGCCTGGAAACGATAGTGACAGATGGGTAGTTGGCACAACTTTTATTTGTAAAAACACTCTTGCCAGAAAGCACGTTTTCGTCATGCCAGATACTCGCGCCGTGCCTAACGACGATGTACCAACAAGAAAAATGTGTGCCTCTCAAATACATAGCTTGCACTGAGAGCGAAACTTTTGCAGCGTGCATTTTGCCAAACCGGATTTGATTTTCTCAGCAGGAACACCTCGCAATGACAACCAGTATCTAGTGCGATTACGTCACGTGCAAACCATGTTAAATACTTCAGCTTTCTGGTGAAGTGCGACGTTCGCGACACCAGCAGTAGAAGTCCAATGTGTAAAGTTGTGTAGTATTTATAGCAGTCTCGCGATGATATACGGCAGCCTAATGAAATGTTGGAGCACATGACTGATAAAGAATAGAGTCGTGAAGTAAGGTCTCAAAACAAGTGCACGTAAAACCTAAGACAACATTAGCCTCCCGAGGTAGTACCTCGCGACGTTTCGAGCTGAGGCAAGCTGATGTCCAAAAGTGATTTATATTAGGATTCTAAAAAATCTTCGTTTGCCCTGCGCGGAATCTATGTTTAATTAGGAATATCATTTTATGCATTTCTTTGCATTTCATTTTGCAGTAAAGCGTTGTGTAAGGGATTATTTAGAAAAAATTTCGTGTCATCTCCTTATTTCTGCACATTTCGTGTATTTGCCTTCCAATATATCATGTGACCACAGTGTTTTTTGGCATACCCTGCAACCCACTATTTTACACTGCAAAACAGCTAACAAAAGCACGTTGCCGAAGACACAACAGCTGGCGTATTTTCGAGTATCGTCCTTCCGTGTCGGTCTCAGGCGGTTATGTGAACTTCATAAAGTCAAATTTATCGATGATAATAAAAATATACTTAATTCCTGTCTGAATATTTGGCAGCATAAATAGAAGATCCTCACCTCAAAGATATATAAGTAAATGCGCCTTTAAATTATCTGAAAGATGTTCTGCAAATATTATTCGGCGCTTTTATCCTCTATAGACACGTTATAGGTGATTTTGAAAAGCTTTAAATAATGTTTTTTTTTTTATTTTGAAGCTAATTTAAATAACTATATGTGTTTCTCACGCATATATAACTTCTCAAATATATATAAGTTTATTATCGCGTTTTTTATGTGTTTTTATTATCGCCTTTTTTACTGGAACGAATGGTGGAACTATGACGATTGCACACTTAAACTCTCAGAAAGTGTCCAATTAAGTAGCTTCCGAATTGAGTAGAGCATGAAATACCACTTTGTTCTATTTAACAAAAATCATCAATTAGCGAGGGTGGTGCTTATTTGCAAATTAAATTGACCTGCATTTTGTCAAGAGCAAACCTCAACATCCAGGCTATTCCAGTTTATCCAATATAAGAAAATTTTCACATGGGTAAGCACTGTTTTAGGTCAGATTCGATCTTAGTACTAAGGTGCTCATAGGTTAGAGTGAACAATTTCAGCCACTCCTTTTCGCATGATTCGTCGCCCGCATCATGGTGCTGAGAGCAAACAATGCTAGTTAGAAAAACAAGCATTGCGATTGTCGCTTAGTGTTTCTATAAAACATAGACTGGAAGGACTTGTCCCGTGACTTTCGTGACATTTTGAAAATTATATTCCCTTAAGCTCAGTCGTCTCGTCATCATATATATATTGTGACACGTATTCCGTAAAACACATTTTATGGTATATATGGCGACGAGGTGCCCATTTCATGATTGTATTCACTGTAAGTAATTCCTTAGTTCAGGGGCAAAACCACGATTCAACATCTAATACTGCGATACAAAGTTGTACCAATCACGGGTATTTTAGGCAATTTACTTCACTTCGCGAAAACATTTCGATTCAGGTACAATATATGTGACTCTGGTAAACGAAGGGATGCTGAGTCGTATAAACACGACGTTTTGTATGTTAACGTAGATTTTCCTTGTTGTGTAGGAATAAATAACAGAATTTTATCATTTTGGTACCTGAAAATAAAACTGAATTGAACAAACGATAAAAAAAAAAAAGAAAACTATATACTGTAAACGACTTATTTTTCGTGGGCTCAATATTTCGCGATTTAGGTCAAAGCTGAAGTTTTGGAATAATTCGCGGGTTGTAATTTTCTCGACGCGGTGGAATCTCAATATAAATTTCAATCTGTTCACATTTTACCGAAATTGTTCGCGGGACCAATTTTTCGCGAATTGTAGGCGATTCGCGAAATTCTCAAAAATAGGTCCTCGCAAAAATCAGATCGTTTACAGCAGTTAGTTTCACGGCCTAAATAGCGCCTATTGACAGAACGCGGAAAATATATTCTCCATTTAGCGGTTCAAACCGGTTCAAACCGGTTCGAACCGGTTCGAACTGGTTTAAACCGTTATTTTTTGCGCCCCGGAACTGAACCGGAACTGAACCGAAAGCCGTGAACCCGAACCCGAACCCGAACCGAACCAATAAAAATATCGGTTCGACACTCTGCTCACAGCAGAGCCCAGCAGGCAAAGATGGCAGCGCGCACAAGGTGATCTTTGCAAAGGTCGATAGGAAACCGGAACGTACAGAAACGCGTTTAAATTGACTGTTTTCTAGAACACCGTAGAGTGCTCTACGTACCTTATATCTTCCTAAATTGAGATTGTTCAATGGCGCTCAGAAAGTTTTTGTTTTAAACCGTACCCTTAAATGTACTAATTAAAGAGTTAATTATTCCAAAGTGATTAAAAATAAAGTATTCTGAACATTATTTTTTTTTTCAAGCAGGGTCTTTGGCAGCGACCAATATGATATTAACTCTTCCTCTATGTGCGAAGCACGCTTTCCGTAATAGCGATTTAGTCTGCGTCTCGAGAGATCACCCCGTATAAATCAATAACTTTACCCAACATACGCTGGTCACACGTTGTATGATGCGTAGAAATACGTATATTTTCAGACTGCAAGATGTTCGTGAATACCGGCACTTCGAACCGGGTAATTCAAGAATGCTTTAAGAAGTTTCCCGACACTTGTGACTCAAGTCGCTACGATGCCTTCGACCTGGATATTTGTCGCTAAAACTCGCAAGGTGGCCTTAGAGATAATAAACTGGTCAATCATGCACTAAATAAGAAATTCAATAACTAAATATCTAAATAAATAAATAAGTAAATTCATAAGCAAATAAACAGTGCATTGATCAGTCAATCAATTAATTTGTTACGTAAGGAGTTTGGGGTAATGAGTGAGAGAAATATGACGCATCCGACGATTTAGAGAAACGCATTTTTTTTGTAGTAGTAGGGTCTATTTTCCTCCATTTTTATTTCTTATCTTTTTTACTTTAGTTAATCTCGTGTATCTTTAGGGTTGGGTTGTCATTGCTCACTTCGGGTGGTTATTGTTTTTTTGTTTTGTTTTTTCTGAATACATCTCTTTTGCCCAGTTAAGCTGGTGCTAGTTCGACTTTTCTACTTTTTGTGTGGGCTTCTTCTGTCATTGTCTGCCTTGGAGCGCTCTAGGCGGTGTCTGTGGTTTTGTGGGCTTTTGTAAAACCTAACCTTTCATGTACTTTTGTCTGGTATATGCCTTCGTTTTTTGGGGTTTTTTTCTTGCTCGGGTTATGGGTTTGTTTATAAATATGTTTGGTGAAATAAAGACAATGTCTGAAGTTTTGTGTTTGCGCTGGTGCCGTTCCTCGCCCCAATGTAGCATTCAAAATGCCTGTTATAATGCTGATGCAGTTCGCACATTCAAGGCAGCCTCCCGGCAAAAAACAAAATATTTGACACAAGTGTGCTCCCCCAACACAAGTGTGCTCTCTCTTGAAGCTAGATGGTCGACCGTGTTAAGCAGTCCTCTAATCTAATAAACAGTGATGTATTCCAGAGACACTGACAAAACCGCTGAATAAAAAAAATGTATTAGCTGAACTCTAAAAAATCTGGGGCGTCTACTTTCCCAGAAACCTCATAGGAGAACCACTCGTTGCTATCTAGAGAGGGAGATCGCCGAATAACAAAAGCCGGACTTCCCCGGATTATATTTTGCTCAGATTTTTTTTTAAAAATCGTTCCGTGAACGGCCGTCTTCAAGTGAAGTTGTCGTGACGGTTGTTACAACTGTCACTGCTTGCCTTAGTGTAAAAGGCAAGCAGGAGATATTTTTTGAAGAAAGAAGTTAAATTAAGGACAACAAATGCTGATGAGGTTAATAGAGTTATAAAGGGATAGTATATAAACTTTTACTAAATGTTCAATACAAAAAAAAATGTTCTAATTTTTTATTCAGGTAGATATATTTTTGAACTACCTCCTACAATAGGGCCATGTAGGGTTGCTAGCCTCTGCCCTCAATACAACAAGAGTGATGTACAAAGGCATTTCTTATACGTAAATATACTCGGCGTCAACTGCTTTGTTACGCATTGTCAAGACTAAACTAGTTTCAGAGTGCTGCATCCATGTACCTGTTGCTCACGCAAGTAGCTTTGACAGCGTTGGTGCACAGCAGAACATCCGTTGGACTTTAAATGCGGCACATGAAAGTCGACGCTTAGTACAGCAATGACCCAACAAATCAAACACACCTTAATAAAACTTCAAAAAAAAAGAAAAAAAGAAACTGTTACACTATTTTAGCACGAGACCATAACTTTACTAGGGTAGAGCTTGGGAAACGAATTTTGGACATTTATTTTTCACGGCGTAGGACATACTTGTCCTAGATATAAATATCAATCCACGTTTCGTGCCTGGAATTTTTCGCCCCACAATTCACAAACACCGCATTTGAATTTTTGTTGATTGTTTTTGTAAACGCCTTGCACGCAGGTTTTTTTAGAGGAAATCACTGGGACTAAAGTTTTGGTCCGTTCAATGCAGAAAAAAATCACCAGTACGGCTGCACAATATATAACTTCTATTCGACTAAATACTAAATGGTCGCACAAGCCCTCGGATTCTATTTCAGATTCTGATGCAGGGCATAACCTAGATTATTTCGTTTTCTCAACTTTGATCGTATGGGCAAGCCTAAAACAAGCAATGGCTCTAATGTTAGCAAGATAAAGCATAAATGTGGCAATATAAGCGGTTTTACTTTGTGAACATGTAGTTAATTGGCGAACGAGAACATTTTGCAGATGGGGAAAGCAGTAGTGTAGACTGGAAAAAGCATTGCTGCCCTTTTGAAGTAGGAATTGAATCAAAGTTCCGTTAAAGGTCGTTGGGCCAATATGCACGATTTATTCTTTACTACACTTCCAGTGCACAGCCCCACCTGAAGGAACACCCTATTTATTAGGAACTAGCAGGTGCGCTGCGCGCACTTGGGAGTGTCTTCATAATGTAATTTTACCAGCACACGAACAGAAAGTTTGATAATGCATTCTGTGTTGCGCAGTCCTCGGCCGAAATATCTAAATGCCGCATCACCGTTCTGATTGGCCTCGGGTTCAGTCAGTGAAGCGCTAATTGGACACGAGTATCAGCTGAACAATTACGTGTTCTATGTTCACGAGCTAATTGAGGTAGGTGAGGTGAATAATCAAGTTCATAAGCATTGTGTTGGGTAAGTCTTGAACTCCGGGGAAAAAAGGCTGGAGAAATTGGGTAAGATATAGTTTGATCTTCTCGCCAATAGTGCTTAAGATATCGATATTTTACGGAGCAATATTGTAGCACCGTATTGAGCTCGTAAACCGCCCTCTTGTAAAGACTTGCATGCAATCCTATGGTTTTATATTTACTGGTCACTGCTTTATTTGTTGTTCAGAAAACAATGCATTTCTCATAAGTACCATCTCAGACAAAAACGTACTGGGGTAATCTAATTTTATTAAAGGCAACATTAACATCTGCATGACTTTCAACTAATTGCACCCCACAGATATTGTACGGTACAAAGCTATGAAAAATGCGTACAAAGGCTTGCGAATTCATGTCGTTGGTGTCCTATTGCCCCATGCCCGATCGGACCGCACTCCGCTCGCTCACCAAGAAACCAGACGACACCCGCTGCCATGAGAAAGGGTTTTATAAATACAGTTCTCTGCGTGGTCTGTCCACTGGGTTGGCCTCCCAGGTTGTGGCGACGGCCGCTGTGTTGCCGGTCTGCCTCGATGATGCAGGTCCGACTCCGCCGTGAAGGTCTGGGTCAACGACTCCGCAATGAAGAATCTTCGGCCCTTGAGCTCCTCTGAATTCGACTGCTGCCAGCCTTCTTTTTTTTTTTTTTTTTGCTTTTTTTTTGCGTTTTGCCGTGCACCTTTCCTCTTCTTTGTCCCCTACAATGTCAAATATTATAACAACCAACTTTGATATTATTTGCTCGTCGGAAACATGGCTTCGTGATGGTATACCGAACTCAAATTATTTACACCCAAATATAACGTCTTTCGCCGCGACAGGAGCTATAACAGCAAAGGGATTAAACTAGGAAGAGGTGTTTTGATTGCACTTGACTCTTCGCTTGTTTCCCATCGCGGGTTCAACTTGGAGTTGTATTGTGAACGTTTGTGGGTCGAAGTTATGTATTGTGAATGTTTGTGGGTCGAAGTTAGAACAGGCAGACGGCGTAAATTAACTTGTAGGTATTTACTATTTTCCGCCGATATTCCATGAAACAATATTTATCAAGCATCTCGAGTCACTTGAACAACAAATCGACTTCGATATGTACAGAGTTCAAAGATACGGAGATTTTAGCCTTCCAGGAATTGAATGGCCACGAGGAGTTATAAATAGCAGCAACTCCATTACGTCATCTAAGGCAACTCGGTTGCTATTGTTTATGCATTTTTGTGGTTTGAATCAGCTAAACCAATTTAAGAACAGTGGAGGTAATATTCTTGATCTTGTTCTTTCGAACATTCCGATCGATGACATTACTACAGTTTCATCACCTTTAATACGAATGGATGTGCTCCATCTACCTTTTGTGGTTAATATTCGTTTCGCACGTAAGCTGCGTGTGTCGCAGACGTTCAATTTTTATTGTTACGCTAAAGGCGATTATTTTGGAATCTATAAGCACTTCCATAGCTGCAACTGGAACGAGGCTCTAGCAATGGATGATACCGGTCTGGCAACAGAGGCGTTTACTGCAGTTGTTAACGAGGTCGTAGATAATTTTGTTCCCAAACACATTTCTCGGATTTCTATTTGCACTGATTGGTTTTCGAAAGTCTGGAGAACTGCCAAAAAATAGAGACCATTTTAATAGACGCTTTAGAAAACTGGCTTGAATCTTTGGTATACAGAATTTAGTATTTATCATGTTCTTTCTAAAAGATTCTATCCGCGCGATAAATAACTACACAACGATGATGTGGAGAGTAGTTTAAATCGTGACCCCAAAACCTTTTGGAAGTTTTCAAGGCAACAAACTCGTGACGGTGCACAGGGCTATGCACTGCGAAATTGTACAGACTGAAATGCTCGTTTTATTTCCTCCTCTGCAGAAGTTGCAAATGTTTTTGCTGACTACATCAGCTACTATTGCACGATAGGACCCAGGTTTCACAGCCCGGTCATGCTCATATTAACTGCCAGGACACATTTGCTGTCTTAGAGTAGATAACGAAGAAATCGTAGAGGCTACGAGGACAAGTAAACCAAATTTATCTACTGGAGCTGATCTCATTCCAAGTTTTATTATCAAGGGTCGTGGTGACTTGCTTGCACCAATTTTGAAGCATATTTTTAGTCTATCGCTGGGTTCTGGTGTATTCCCATGGTTATGAAAGAAGGCGGTTGTTGTCCCAATTTTAAGGGGGAGTGATGCTTCAGTTGTCTGTAGTTATCGCCCCGTTTTGTTATTGTACGGGTTTTCAAAGGTGTTTGAAATGCTGATGGATAAACGTGCTAATGTTTCATTTTCGTCAGAAATTAACGACTGAACAGCTTGGGTTCATGAAAGATCGGTCGATTGAGACCAACTTGTCTTCCTTTTTAAATTACTCTGTACCTGTTGTTGTGAACAAGAGACAGGTAGAAGCTATCTAGTTCGACATTTGATAAAGTTGACCATGGGCTGCTACTGAACAAGGTTTCTTTATATAGTTGTTCGAAATTCTA